AGGCGCCCACTACCGCGCCCGGCTAATTTATTATTTTTAGTAGACACGGGGTTTTACCATGCTGGCTAGCCTGGTCTCTAACTCCTGACCTCAAATGATCTGCCCGCCTTGGCCTCCCGAAGTATTGGGATTACAGGCATGAGCCACCATGCCCAGCAAGATGCTGCATTTTAATTAAGAGACTGTCTCCCAAGAGGGAACAGAGCGGTTGCAATCCTACAGGCAGGACCTGGAGGCTGGATGGGTCAGGCTTCGAATGCCACTTGAACTGTAGAAGCTTGAACAAGTTATTTCTCTCCCTTGAGTCTGGAAAACAAAGTCCCCGACATCGACACTGCCTGACTTGGGAGAAAAGGAGGCGTTCAGTGTCTGGTGGAGGAAGCTGAGCGTATATACGTCCCATTGTTGTGTTTTCCCTGGCTCTGCCCCAATTCTTCGAGCCCCTGTTCCCACCACCCCTTCCCCCCACCCCTGCTCAGACAAAGTGGGGGCCTGTCTTGTGTCTGTGGAAATTTAATGGCAGGTTTGTGAGAATCAAGTTTGAGTCATGGAGACAGATAATGATAGCCCCTGTGGCTGCCCCCCGGTCCCCTGAGAGCTTCTGCCTTCTTGTCTGTGATTGTGCACCTGGGATGGCTATTGGTGGAGCTCACACCAGGGTGGCAAGGACAGGAAGTTGGTCCCGGCTCGTGTTTGTGTGCGTTTTGTGTGATTTCTTCTGCAGTCCCCAGAGTCAGTAGTTTTTTGTTTTGTTTTTTTGAGACGGAGTCTCAATTTGTCGCCCAGGCTGGAGTACAGTGACGAGATCTTGGCTCACTGCAGCTTCTGTCTCCTGAGTTTAAGCGATTCTCCTGCCTCACCCTCTCACCTGTAACCTATCTGGGATTACAGGCATCCACCACCATGCCTGGCTAATTGTTTTGGTATTTTTAGGAGAGACAGGGTTTCATCATGTTGGCCAGGCTGGTCTCGAACTTCTGACCTCAAATTATCCACCTACTTTGGCTTCCCAAAGTGCTGGGATTACAGGCGAGAGCCACTGCACCCAGCCCGAGTCAGTACTGTTTTGTTTTCTGTTTTTGAGATAGGGTCTTGCCCAGACTGGTTCATGACTCACTGCAGCCTCTAACTCCTGGGTTCAAGCACTCCTCCCACCTCAGCCTTCCAAGTAGCTGGGACTACAGGCATGCACCACCACACCTGGCAAATTTTTAGATTTTTTTGTAGAAATGGGGTCTCACTATGTTGCCCCAGTGGCTTAAACTCCTGGGCTCAAGCAATCCTCCTGCTTCAGCCTCCCAAAGTGCTGGAATTACAGGCGTGAGCCACCGTGCCCAGCCTGGGGTCAACGTTCTTAGGTAAAGCAACGGAGTACTGTCCCTGCAGGATCCTTTGAGGACTTAATGGATGGCCAGAACTGAAACAGGACGTGAGGCTCCCTGGTGCTGGGTCTCTCCGAAGCTCAGTGTATGCACTTGGACTTTATACCCTCATGTACAAATATGCATGACCTAGAATGACCCCAAGCGTCCATTTTGGTGGGTGCAATGTACATATTCATCCCCTGGGGATAGTTGAGCTGTCCTGGTATGTTTCTAGATACTGGTGACCCAGGCAGACTGGGATATTTGTGGCTGGAGTGCAGTGGTGCAATCTCGGCTCACTGCAACCTCCGCCTCCCGGGTTCAAGGGGTTCTCGTGCCTCAGCCTCCCGAGTAACTGGAACTACAGGCACCCTCCACCATGACCGGCTAATTTTTGTATTTTTAATAGAGACGGGGTTTCACCATGTTGGCCAAGGCTGGTCTCGAACTCCTAACCTCAAGTGATCCGCCCACCTCAGCCTCCCAAACTATACTTGGCTTTGTGCTTAGGGCAGGGAGTATGAATGAGCATGAGGGCCGGGCGATGGTGTTTGGGACCCTGTGCTCTGGGCACCCCCTTGCATGTATTTGAGTCTGGGTGAGTCACCACCTGAGTCAGGGAACCCATGACTTTTTGGTTTTTGTTTTGTTTTTTTTTGAGACGCAGTCTCGCTCCATCTCCCAGGCTAGAGTGTGGTGGCACGATCTCAGCTCACCACAACCTCTGCCTCCTGGGTTCAAGGATTCTCCTGCCTAGCTGGGACTACAGGTTCACGCCACCATGCCCGGCTAATTTTTGTATTTTTAGTAGAAACGGGGTTTCACCATGCTGGCCAGGCTGGTTTCGAACTCCTGACCTCGTGATCCGCCTGCCTTGGCCTCCCAAAGTGCTAGGATTACAGATGTGAGCCACTGCACCTGGCCTGACTCATGACATTTTACGCTTGCATGGTGAGTCCCCATGTGGGCAGGCTGTACCCACCCCCGTGCCTGCCTGATTCCCCAGACTGAAGTGGGGGCCCCTGAGGGGATAAAAGGATGTGGTCTTTGGGGACTGCCTGGCCTTTAACTTGGTGGGTGGAGCCTGCAGCCTATCTTGTTTCTACCCAGGAGTCACCCCCAAATATTGGGGGGACACAGAAACTGAAAAGCGAGGCTCAGGCGTGTCAGGATCATTGGCTGAGCTGTGCGTCAGGGGACCAGGCTTTCCCTAGATTCTTCCTGGGGAGATGGATGGGGAGCCGGAGAGAACTCCCTGATGGGCAGATGCCCTCCTTCCTGGCCAAACCCCTGTGCCCAGTTACAGATTATCTTTTTTGTGTGTTTTTTGAGATGGAGTCTCACTCTGTCACCCAGGCTGGAGTGCAGTGGCACGATCTCGGTTCACTGCAACCTCCGCCTCCCCAGATCAAGACCCTCCCACCTTAGCCTCCAGAGTAGCTAGGATTACAGGTGTGCTTCACCATGCCCGGTTAATTTTTTATGTATTTTTAGTAGACCTGGGGTTTCACCATGTTGGCCATGCTGGTCTCGAACTCCTAACCTCAAGTGATCCGCCCGCCTCAGCTTCCCATACTGCTGGGATGACAGGCGTGAGCCACGGCGCCCAGCCCCAGTCACAGATTATCTATCTGGACAAGGACAGGAGGCTCCCAGGACTGGGGGAACTTGGATGTTGGCAGAAGTGGGCTAGTCTAAGGGTCTCCACCTTCCTTGTTCCACCTCAGCCTCTGGGGAAGTGGGCGCCTGCCTGGGAGGGTGACATCTCAGCTCATGCCCCACGCCCCAGTGTGACTTGTGGCTGGCCTGTCTGTATCTGCAATAATGATACCTTGGTCTAAAAGGAGACCCTGGGAACAGACAGAGTGGGCCGGCTAGGAACCTGGCAGCACAGCCCTGGCCTGGTCATAGGTGTCACCTGACAGCTTTCCATTTGCAAGTCCTCCCTCCTCCTTGGACATCCGGACACCCCATTGCCCCCTCTCAGAGCCAGGTCTCTGGTTTCTGCCTGTGATTCTGGGCTGTAGCCCCTTTAGAAACTCAGGTGTCGTGGTCACCTCTACCCCCAGGGCTGACTAGCCTTCAGCTTGGCCACTCCCTGCCCCTGGGGCCCTGGTAACCAGAGCCAGGCTCCAGCCGGCTTTTCCGGTTGGAGGTTGGAGGTGGTGCCCAGAGTGCCCCTGGAGGGGGTGGAGGGGCCCACCCCCGGAAGTCCTGAGCCTTGTGACACTTTCAGGTCTGGTAGGGGTGAGAGCCGAGGCTGGCCCAGACGCTGAGTGTCTGCGGTCAGGGAGCATCCAGGCAGATGTTTTCAGGCCTTGGTGTCAGGGGTGGGAGAGGAATACCTGGTTTCGGGGAGGCAGCCAAGCGAGGAAGCTGGAGGGCGGCGGCCCTGTGGACTAGCCCTACTGTGCTCTTTGAGGTCAGACAAGTCAGATCAGGTGCAGGGGTGCCCAGAGGGGAACGGTGGCTGCTTGGTTCTGGGCAGGTGGTGATGTCTGCATGGAGGGTGACTGAGGCCAGGCTAAGAGGGAAGTGGGGGGCACACACCTCGGATGTTTGGACAAGTTTGAACAGGGAGGGTCACGGGCAGATGAGGAGCACGGTCCTGCCTGTGTGTGGCTCCTCGGGGTACCCCCTGCAGAGCCTTCCATCCTGAGGGTCTCTCTCTACACCCCCCGTCTCGTCCCCTCCCACAGGCAGCATGATCCCCGTGGCCGAGTTCAAGCAGTTCACGGAACAGCAGCCTGCATTCAAGGTGCTCAAACCCTGGTGGGACGTGCTGGCCGAGTACCTCACCGTGGCCATGCTCATGATTGGGGTCTTTGGCTGCACCCTCCAGGTGAGGTGCTCCCCTGTGAAGGGGGCGTGACCAAAGGGGTGGGGCAGGTGTCTGGGGAAGTCAGGAAGCCTTCCCATCACCCAAGAAAGTGAGAGGAAACTGAAGACAGAGCCCCTCAAAGGCCCATCCAGACCCCTTATCTTCCTTACCTCCATAGCCAGGAGCACCAGAGTCCCACATTGCTATGCCATTCCTTATCTTTTCTTTTTTGAGATAGAGTCTCGCTATGTCGCCCAGGCTATTAGAGTACAGTGGTGTGATCTCAGCTCCCTGCAACTTCTGCCTCCTGGGTACAAGCGGTTCTCCTGCCTCAGCCTCCTGAGCAGCTGGGATTATAGGCGCCCGCCCGCCACCATGCTTGGCTAATTTCTGTAGTTTTTTAGTAGAGACGGGGTTTCACCATGTTATCCAGGCTGGTCTTGAACTCCTGACCTCAAGTGATCTCCCTGCCTGGGCCTCCCAAAGTGTTGGGATTACAGGCGTGAGCCACTGCGCCCAGCCTTTTTTTTTTTTTTTTTTTTGAGACGGAGTCTCCCTCTGTTGCCCAAGCTGGAGTGCAATGGCACGGTCTCAGCTTACTGCAACCTCTGCCTCCCAGGTTCAAGCAGTTCTCCTGCCTCAGCCTCCTGAGTAGGTGGCACTATAGACACATGCCACCACACCCCACTAATTTTCAGTAGAGACAGGGTTTCACTACGTTGGCCAGATGGGTCTTGAACTCCTGACCTCATGATCTCCCCGCCTCGGCCTCCCAAAATGCTGGGATTACAGGCATGAGGCACCACATCCGACCCTTCTTTTTCTTTTTCTTTTTTTTTTTTTTTTGGCTGAAAAGAGACAGGGGCCGGGCATGGTGGCTCACACCAGTAATCCCAGCATTTTGGGAGGTCAAAGTGGGAGTATCACTTAAGGCCAGAAGTTCGAGACCAGCCTGGCCAACATGGTGAAAACCTGTCCTTACTAAAGATATAAATATTAGCTGGGCATGGTGGTGGACACCTGTAATCCCAGCTACTCGGAAGGCTGAGGGCAGGAAAATTGCTTGAACCTGGGAAGTGGAGGTTGCAGTGAGCCGAGATCATACCATTGCACTCCAGCCTGGGCGACAGAGCGAGACTCCATCTTAAAAAAAAAATAAAATAATTGAAAATTAAAATAAAGAGGGTCTCATTCTGTCATCCAGGCTGGAGTGCAGTGGCATGATCACAGCTCAATGCAGCCTTGAACTCCTGGGCTCAAGCAATTCTCCCGCCTCAGCCTCCAGAGTAGCTGGGATTACAGGCACACGCCACCACGCCCAGCTAATTTTTTAATTTCACGTTGACACGGGGGTCTTGCTATGTTGCCCAGGCTGGTCTCGAACTCCTGGCCTCAAGCCATCCTCCCACCACGGCCTCCCAAAGTGCTGGGATTACAGGTGTGAGCCACCGTGCCCAGCCCCGTATTTTCATAATGCTCAATTTTCTCCCTGGACTCTGGAAAGGGCTGCAATTGCTATATGAGTTTGTTACTTTTTCTGTAACAAAGTAGCAAGGATTGAGGGGCTTAAATACCAGAAATGTTTCCTCTTCTGGGTCTGGTTCTGGAGGCCAGAAGTCCGAGATCAAGGCGTCAGTTGACAGTGAGGGAGAATCTTCCAAGCCTCCCTGCTAGATTATTGTAGCTCCAAGGGTTCCTTGGCTTGTAGATGACATTCTCCCAGTACTTTTCTTTCTTTCTTTCTTTTTTTTTTTTTTTTTTTAGACTGGAGCCTCCCTGTCGCCCAGGCTGGCGTGCGGTGGTGCAGTCTCGGCTCACTGCAACCTCTGCCTCCCAGGTTCAAACAATTCTCCTGGCTTAGCCTCCCAAGTAGCCAGGATTACAGGCGTGTGCCACCATGCCCGGCTAATTTTTTTGTTTTTGTATTTTTAGTAGAGCCGCGATTTCAGTATGTTGGCCAGGCTGGTCTTGAATTCCTGACCTTGTGATCCCCCTGCCTCCGTCTCCCAAAGTGCTGGGATTACAAGCATGAGCCACCACGCCCAGCCGAGACAGTTTTTTTTTTTTTTTTTTTTTTTTTTTTTTTTTAGCAAGCTCTGTCACCTAGGCTGGAGTGCAGTGGCGCAATCATAGCTCACTGTAACCTTGTACTCCTGGCCTCAAGCAATCCTCCTCCACCACCCCGACTTGGCTCCCGTCCCACTGCCTCCCAAATCACTGGGATTACAAGCCTGAACCACCACACCCAGCCTCTCCCTGTATCCTCGCGTCATCTTCTCTCTCTGTGTCTGTCTCTGTGTCTATGTTTCCCCTTTCTCTAAGGCGCAGTCATCCTGGGCCCACCCTGCTGGCTTTGTCTTAACTTGACTACCTCTGCAAAGACCCTATTACCAAACAGGAGCCGCCTGACGCAGCTCAAATAATACCACATTCATAAGAATTCGGAGTTGGGACTTCAACATCTTTTCGGGGGACACGATTCAACCCAGTTCCTTTTCTCAAAGACCAGTGCTTTGCTGGTTGCGGTGGCTCATGCCTGTAATCCCAGCACTTTGGGAGGCTGAGGCAGGGGACCACTTGAGGCCAAGAGTTCGAGACCAGCCTGGCCGACATAGTGAAACCCCATCTCTACTAGAAATACAAAAATTGGCTGGGCGTGGTACTGCGTGCTTGTAGCCCCAGCTACTCAGGAGGCTGAGGCAGGAGAATTGCTTGAACTGGGAGGGGGACGTTGCAATGAGCCAAGATTGCACCACTGCACGCAGCCCCGGTGACAGAGCGACACTCAGTCTCAAAAAAAAAAGACCAGTGCTTAGAGGTTTAGCAAAACTCTTCCAAAGTCACAGCTGGCTGGCAACAGTCAGAGATGGGAGATGCGGGGGTCTCCCACCTTCAGCCTGTTTTTCCCCCATCTCCCTCATTTTTTTTTTTTTTTTTAAATTAATTATTTTTGAGACGGAGTCCTACTCTGTCGTCCAGGCTGGAGTACAATGGTACGATCTCGGCTCACTGTAACCTCCGTCTTCCAGGTTCAAGCGATTTCTCCTGCCTCAGCTTCCCAAGTAGCTGGGATTACAGGTGCCCACCACCATGCCCGGCTAATTTTGTATTTTTAGTAGAAACAGGGTTTCACCATGTTGGCCAGGCTGGTCTCGAACTCCCGACCTCAAGTGATCCGCCCGCCTCAGCCTCCCAAAGTGCTAGGATTACAGCCCTCAGTCTCTTTTGCTCCTCAGGTGACACAGGACAAGATCATCTGTCTACCCAATCACGAGCCCCAGGAGAACTTATCAGAGGCCCCGTGCCAGCAATTGCTGCCTCGGAGGAGCCCTGAGCAGATGGGGGCCCTGCAGGAGGTTAAAGGCCTTAAGAACAATTTGGACCTGCAGCAATACAGCTTCATTAACCAGCTGTGCTACGAGACGGCCCTGCACTGGTATGCCAAATACTTCCCCTACCTCGTGGTCATTCACACACTCATCTTCATGGTCTGCACCAGTTTCTGGTTCAAGTTCCCTGGCACCAGCTCCAAGATCGAACACTTCATCTCCATCCTGGGCAAGTGTTTCGACTCTCCATGGACCACAAGGGCCCTGTCCGAGGTCTCCGGGGAGAACCAGAAGGGCCCAGCAGCCGCCGGACGGGCCTCGGCCACCATAGTGGCCACGGCAGGGGCCGCACCGGGGAAGGCAGGGGAGGGTGAGAAGGAGAAAGTGCTGGCAGAACCAGAGAAGGTGGTGACCGAGCCTCCAGTTGTCACCCTGCTGGACAAGAAGGAGGGTGAGCAAGCCAAAGCCCTGTTTGAGAAGGTGAAGAAGTTCCGTGTGCACGTGGAAGAGGGTGACATCCTGTACACCATGTACATTCGACAGACGGTGCTGAAAGTGTGTAAGTTCCTGGCCATCCTGGTCTACAACCTGGTCTATGTGGAGAAGATCAGTTTCCTGGTGGCCTGTAGGGTGGAGACGTCAGAGGTCACGGGCTACGCCAGCTTCTGCTGCAACCACACCAAGGCCCACCTCTTCTCCAAGCTGGCCTTCTGTTACATCTCCTTCGTGTGCATCTACGGACTCACCTGCATCTACACGCTCTATTGGCTCTTCCACCGGCCCCTCAAGGAGTACTCCTTCCGTTCCGTGCGGGAGGAGACTGGCATGGGGGACATTCCTGATGTCAAGAACGACTTCGCCTTCATGCTGCACCTCATCGATCAGTATGACTCCCTCTACTCCAAGCGCTTCGCTGTCTTCTTGTCCGAGGTCAGCGAAAGTCGTCTAAAGCAGCTCAATCTCAACCATGAGTGGACGCCCGAGAAGCTTCGACAGAAGCTGCAGCGCAACGCCGCAGGTCGGCTGGAGCTGGCCCTCTGCATGCTTCCGGGACTGCCCGACACCATCTTTGAGCTCAGTGAGGTGGAGTCACTCCGGCTGGAGGCCATCTGCGATATCACCTTCCCCCCGGGGCTGTCGCAGCTGGTGCACTTACAGGAGCTCAGCTTGCTCCACTCGCCCACCAGGCTACCCTTCTCCTTGCAGGTCTTCCTGCGGGACCATCTGAAGGTGATGCGCGTCAAATGCGAAGAGCTCCGCGAGGTGCCGCTTTGGGTGTTCGGGCTGCGGGGCTTGGAGGAGCTGCACCTGGAGGGGCTTTTCCCCCAGGAGCTGGCTCGGGCGGCCACCCTGGAGAGCCTCCGGGAGCTGAAGCAGCTCAAGGTATTGTCCCTCCGGAGCAACGCCGGGAAGGTGCCAGCCAGTGTGACCGACGTCGCCGGCCACCTGCAGAGGCTCAGCCTGCACAATGATGGGGCCCGTCTGGTTGCCCTGAACAGCCTTAAGAAACTGGCGGCATTGCGCGAGCTGGAGCTGGTGGCCTGCGGGCTGGAGCGCATCCCCCACGCAGTGTTCAGCCTGGGCGCCCTGCAGGAACTCGACCTTAAGGACAACCACCTGCGCTCCATCGAGGAAATCCTCAGCTTCCAGCACTGCCGGAAGCTGGTCACGCTCAGGCTATGGCACAACCAGATCGCCTATGTCCCGGAGCACGTGCGGAAGCTCAGGAGCCTGGAGCAGCTCTACCTGAGCTACAACAAGCTGGAGACCCTGCCCTCCCAGCTCGGCCTGTGCTCGGGCCTCCGTCTGCTGGACGTGTCCCACAACGGGCTACACTCCCTGCCACCCGAGGTGGGCCTCCTGCAGAACCTACAGCACCTGGCCCTCTCCTACAATGCCCTGGAGGCCCTGCCCGACGAGCTCTTCTTCTGCCGTAAGCTTCGGACATTGCTTCTGGGTGACAACCAGCTGAGCCAGCTCTCGCCCCACGTGGGTGCCCTCAGGGCCCTCAGCCGCCTGGAGCTCAAAGGAAACCGCCTTGAGGCGCTGCCTGAAGAACTTGGCAACTGTGGGGGGCTAAAGAAGGCGGGGCTCCTGGTGGAAGACACCCTTTACCAGGGTCTGCCGGCAGAGGTGCGGGACAAGATGGAGGAGGAATGAAGCCGGGGTGGGGCCGTTTGAGGTAGGGCCTTAAAAATGCTTCCGCCCTGGAATCTCAACCATTGTCTTCCAAGACAGCTGTGTCAGCTTTCAGGGACCCAGGAGGATCTGGGGCTGGTTTGTCTGGGGAGAGAGAGAGGATGTTGTGGAGTTGGGGTGGAACCTGGTATGGAGGGATTAACTCAGTCATGGGATTCTCCAAAACCACACCTGTGTCGCTGGCAGCCTGGCTGGCCTTGCTCCCATCCCTAGACCAGAACTGCTGCCTCTCCCTGTATATTCCAGCTCAATCAGTGCC